GGTTGGTACATGGCGCCAAAATGCATTTACCGACCATTCTTGAACGTCAGCAACTCGATTACCAACAAAGGTCGCTAGTGTTGAAGAATGAGAACTAATCCAATGTAAAGTAATCTGTGAATCAGACCAAAAGTATATGTTATTAATATAATATAATAAATTATCTTTAATCTTGTTCCAGCATCCAGCAAGAAGATGGGCGGCACACAATTCAAGACGTGGTAATGATCTTGCTTTCACAGGAGCAACTCGGGATTTGGAAGTTAATAAATGAACATTAACATTGCCAAAATTATCTTGACAACGTAGATAGATACAACATCCGTATGCTCTAATTGATGCGTCGCTGAAGCCATGTACTTGCATGTTAATTGAGTTCTTGATTCGAGTGAACTTAGGAATTTTAAGAAGTACCACTTGATGCAAATCAGCAAGAATTTTGTTCCATGTTGTGTAAATTTCTTGAGGTACGGATTCATCCCAATCACATCCAATTATCCATAGTTGCTGTAACAAAATCTTAGCTTTGATGATAAGTGGAGTAATTAGACCCAAAGGATCATATAAAGATGATGCTAATGACAAAATGTTTCGTTTAGTATGACTTGCTGGTATATTGGTTGATTGAAAAGTGAAGCAAAAATAGTCTTCTTTCGTATTCCATAACATTCCAAGTGGGCATGCCATATCTCTTGCAGTCTCAATATCTGTAAGTTTAACATTTGGTGCAGTGATGTTAACATTGTTACTATTCCACTTTGTTAACGATAAGTTGTAAAAATCCAATATTTCGGTAGTTTCATTTTTGATGGCTTGCAATGTCTCCAAGTCATCTGCTCCTGAGATCATGTCATCGACATAAAAATCCCTTTTTAATATCATTTTACCTGTTTCTTTACGGTAAGGATAGTTATCTGCAATGTAGTGTAAGCACCTAGTTGCAAGAAATTGCGCAGAACTCGTACCATATGTAACAGTATTCAGTTGATAAACTGAAATATTTTGCGATTTATGCTCACGCCACAAAATTAGTTGAAAATTGCGATCACTTCGATGTAGCCAAAATTGTCTATACATTATTGTTATGTCAGCCGTTATTCCATATTGATATAATCGAAATCTTAATAATGTTATTACAAGTTCATTTTGGATTGTAGGGCCCACTACACGTAATTTAGTAGTTGTGCTATCTGGTTTAATTACATAATGATGTGGGATAAAATAGTGGGGAGAATTTAAATCCAAATCCTTAACCATCGACATATGTCCGAGATTTTCATAATCTTGCATAAATTTCACATATTCCAATTTTAACTCAATATTGGAGTCAAGTCTTCTTTCCATAGATAAAAATCTTCTTAATGCATTTTTCTGAGAATTTCCAAAAGTACTTGTGTCGCCTTTGAATGGCAACCTTGTCATAATTCGGCCATCGTTACTGAGAGCTACAGAAAGTTGGTTTCGCATTGCTGTTCTTCTACTGACTATACTGATGGTGGATGAACTGGTTCCTCTATCTGCCACAACCGTTCCAAGTTCGCATTAATTGTATCCAAGCTAACAACACAATGGGATGAAACAATTTTGGAATCTTTAGTAGAACAATATTTTCCTGAAATAATCCAGCCGAACAAAGTTTTTTGTAAAGTCGGTAAATTCTCACCAAGTTTTATTTGGCCTACTGCTAGCAGTGAAAAGAAAGCTTCTGCGCCAAGTAACATATCAATTTTTTGGCGTTTAGAAAATGTCGGATCAGCTAATTGAAGATTTTCAGGAATTTGCAACTCTCATTAGGGTGATATCCAGAAATTCTTTTGGTAACGAGAAACTCAAGTGCTGCTTCAAAACTGTTTAACCTTGAACGTATCGTACTTATAGTTTTGTGTTTAATATTTATTGATGCAGCTCCTACACCAACAAGACTGTTTTCACTTCGTGACTTTTTTAGATGAAGTGCATTACACATCGATTCCGATATTAAATTGACCTGCGAGCATGAATCTAATAACACTCTACAGAGTTGAAAAGTACCAGATGCATCTTTAGCTAACACCATTGCTGTTGCCAAAAGCACCACTGATTTTACCCGAGCAGAAGTATCGTCTGGAACTAGTGTACTAGTGTGTACATGACTTAGAGGTGATATTGTTTGCTCACATAAAGGTTCCATATTAGATGATGCACCAGTATTATGTAAAAGTGAATGATGTCGTTTTTTGCACATTCGGCATGAATACGTTGATGGACAATGTGTGCTAATGTGATCTTTCCGGAGACAATTAAAGCATAGTTGGATTTGCTTCGCCTGTTGACATCGATTTTCAATTGATAGAGCTAAAAAATTTGGACAATTAGTAATATAATGACCAGGTTTTAAACAATATACACAATGAATCTGACTTGTAGACTTTTGTTTCGTCATTAAGATGTGCTTGAAAGGTTTACGAACACTAGTACGCTGCAACTCTTGGTTGATTGTAGCCTTTGGCTTGGCCTTTGCTAGTACCATTAATTGTTGATAATTGTTGATAATGTTGCAAGATGCTTGACATCAAGATGCTTGACATCTTGCAACATTCCAGCCAAGTTGGTAGTTTCGTATAGTCGTGACATTCATTCCATTTACGTTTCGTCTCACTATCCGCTTTCGTCATCACCAAATGAATCATGATTGCATCACATATCTGTTCGTGTGATCCCAGTGATTTAAGCGAACTATATAAAGCCGAAATGTTGTCCACTAATTGGCGAAGTTGAGTCGAATCAGGCATAATACATTGTGGTTCATCAAAAAGTGTTACAATGCCTTCCAGAAATATGAGAGGGTCATTGTCGTATCGCTCTTTGAGTCTTTGGAGAGCCTTCGGATAGTTGTCTTCCGTTATCTGGAACGCCTTTACTGTAGCTAACGCTTCCCCTTGAAGACACGATAACAAATGGTTGAATTTTTCAATTGATGTCAAGAGCGAATCACTATCTACAAGGTTTTGAAAAATATGTATAAAATTTTTGAATTCAAGATATTTGCCGTCAAACTTAGGCAACTTTAAATGTGGCAATCTGTTTGACGGCAGCTGCGGTAACGAGAAAGTTTGCTCATGGTAGCTTTGTCTCCCCCGTCCATCAACTAATGACAATATTAAACATTTTGTACTTACGTACAGCTCATCGATGTCAGAGCGCGCTGAATCTATAGGACAATATCGCTCTATCTGATTCTGGTAGTAAGATACCTGCTTATAATATGCATCTAGCATCCCAAGTCTACACTCCAATTCCGTTGACGATAAAGTTTTGTTGTTCTCAACAATATTTTTAATTCGCGTTATTCTGCCTTTTGTAGATGCTCGCTGCTGTTTTAATTCTTCTAACGAAGGCAATGGCGGCAGAGAATTTGACGCTAAAGTCGCATTGTTTTCGGCAGCGCTGCTCGCTGCTGCATTATTAGAATTTTGCATCACCGAAAGCAAATGCAAAACCGAAAATAAAACAAAAAAAAACCAACTAATGTTATGAAGGTTAATAACCTGAATGATTGTCAAGGTTATTGTAAAATTGAACAACTGTTGTTTATTTTTTAAGTTTTAAACAATTACTGATGTAAGAGACTATTAATATCAAGTTTTTAATATTAATTTGAAAGACCTTTAGCCTTTATTTATATCAAGTCTTTAATATAAATTGAATTTAATTTGAAACACTTTTAGTCGTCATTTATATCAAGTCTTTAATATAAATTGAATTTAATTTGAAACACTTTTAGTCGTCATTTATATCAAGTCTTTAATATAAATTGAATTTAATTTGAAACACTTTTAGTCGTCATTTATATCAAGTCTTTAATATAAATTGAATTTAATTTGAAACACTTTTAATAGTTAATTTATCATAAGTCTTTAAAATAAATTTAAGATAATTTCAAACACTTGTTTTTAGGCACACTACGGTCGTGTCCTGTCATGGTCGCCAATGATCGAAAACTATTTAATTTAATAGTTTTTTCTATTCTCTTTGATTTTATATAAATCCAAACGCACCTTTTGCTTGAGTAGTTCACATACCACTGACTTTATTTTTAAAACATATTATTAACAATAGCAAAAAAAGCAAAACAAAAGGAAAGCTGCGGCTATTAAAAGCTTTTTTGTTAGTTGTAAATAAATATTAAATAATTGAACTTAAAATAAGTATACGAGAACCTAATTGACTTAACATACCGGCCCCCATTGAGACCGTCAGGTTCAATTAATTGGTAATACAGCTAGCTTCGTAATTGGTTTGAGTTGTGTAAAACTACTATATTCTTGTGAAAATAGTGTTGTTGAATAATATATACAATATGCAACAGAGCGCGTTGTATTTCATTTATCACGAATAATGATTGAATTTGTGCCTCGTGCTTGTGATGCCATCTTAGCATCAGCGCAACCATACGTAGACATTTGTTATAATTGCTTATCTGATGAAGTCTCTGTTGCAAATACGACAGTTTGATATCTTCCAAAATGCACACTAGTTTGCGAATTTCTAACTTGCGGTCGTCAACTGTTAGTTGATTTATTGAATGTTCTGGCCAGTTTGGCCACGGCAACATTAAGAATGAAGGTCCTTTGAACCAATTTGATTACAGAAATTCTGGGACGGTAGACCCTCTAAAAACGAGATCAGCTGGATTCTGATCGGTTGGTACATGGCATCCAGCATCCAGCAAGAAGATGGGCGGCACACAATTCAAGACGTGGTAATGATCTTGCTTTCACAGGAGCAACTCGGGATTTGGAAGTTAATAAATGAACATTAACATTGCCAAAATTATCTTGACAACGTAGATAGATGCAATATCCGTATGCTCTAATTGATGCGTCGCTGAAGCCATGTACTTGCATGTTAATTGAGTTCTTGATTCGAGTGAACTTAGGAATTTTAAGAAGTACCACTTGATGCAAATCAGCAAGAATTTTGTTCCATGTTGTGTAAATTTCTTAAGGTACGGATTCATCCCAATCACATCCAATTATCCATAGTTGCTGTAACAAAATCTTAGCTTTGATGATAAGTGGAGTAATTAGACCCAAAGGATCATATAAAGATGATGCTAATGACAAAATGTTTCGTTTAGTATGACTTGCTGGTATATTGGTTGATTGAAAAGTGAAGCAAAAATAGTCTTCTTTCGTATTCCATAACATTCCAAGTGGGCATGCCATATCTCTTGCAGTCTCAATATCTGTAAGTTTAACATTTGGTGCAGTGATGTTAACATTGTTACTATTCCACTTTGTTAACGATAAGTTGTAAAAATCCAATATTTCGGTAGTTTCATTTTTGATGGCTTGCAATGTCTCCAAGTCATCTGCTCCTGAGATCATGTCATCGACATAAAAATCCCTTTTTAATATCATTTTACCTGTTTCTTTACGGTAAGGATAGTTATCTGCAATGTAGTGTAAGCACCTAGTTGCAAGAAATTGCGCAGAACTCGTACCATATGTAACAGTATTCAGTTGATAAACTGAAATATTTTGCGATTTATGCTCACGCCACAAAATTAGTTGAAAATTGCGATCACTTCGATGTAGCCAAAATTGTCTATACATTATTGTTATGTCAGCCGTTATTCCATATTGATATAATCGAAATCTTAATAATGTTATTACAAGTTCATTTTGGATTGTAGGGCCCACTACACGTAATTTAGTAGTTGTGCTATCTGGTTTAATTACATAATGATGTGGGATAAAATAGTGGGGAGAATTTAAATCCAAATCCTTAACCATCGACATATGTCCGAGATTTTCATAATCTTGCATAAATTTCACATATTCCAATTTTAACTCAATATTGGAGTCAAGTCTTCTTTCCATAGATAAAAATCTTCTTAATGCATTTTTCTGAGAATTTCCAAAAGTACTTGTGTCGCCTTTGAATGGCAACCTTGTCATAATTCGGCCATCGTTACTGAGAGCTACAGAAAGTTGGTTTCGCATTGCTGTTCTTCTACTGACTATACTGATGGTGGATGAACTGGTTCCTCTATCTGCCACAACCGTTCCAAGTTCGCATTAATTGTATCCAAGCTAACAACACAATGGGATGAAACAATTTTGGAATCTTTAGTAGAACAATATTTTCCTGAAATAATCCAGCCGAACAAAGTTTTTTGTAAAGTCGGTAAATTCTCACCAAGTTTTATTTGGCCTACTGCTAGCAGTGAAAAGAAAGCTTCTGCGCCAAGTAACATATCAATTTTTTGGCGTTTAGAAAATGTCGGATCAGCTAATTGAAGATTTTCAGGAATTTGCAACTCTCATTAGGGTGATATCCAGAAATTCTTTTGGTAACGAGAAACTCAAGTGCTGCTTCAAAACTGTTTAACCTTGAACGTATCGTACTTATAGTTTTGTGTTTAATATTTATTGATG